ATTCGTGATTTTAATTAACAGCAGTGCTTCCTTAATTCCATAAGCCGCTATAACAAACGCAGATATGTCCAAAACGATAGAACTTTCACCCTTTACTTTTAGCGGAGGATTCTCATTACGAACTTTTTTAATCGTCCTTTGTGCCAGTGAAAAAAAATAAATCCGTTGTGATGCGAGAGACGGCGTGTCCCGCTCTCGTAATTAAACAGACACCGTCCCCCGGGACGAGTTTTGAATGTTATTAGAATTTCTTTCACACCGTCGCCTCTGATTGGAAATACTTTATGATACAATTTAATATCTAACAGAAATCAAACATTCAAATGCACTCTAATATTTTATTGGTATTCGTGAAATAGATTTGCATGAAACAACCAACACAATCGCCACAGGTTAAATGTTAAACGATGACAAAGAGGGTACAAATTTTGAGTACAATTTAGGTCAAACCAGTCAACTGAAACAAACGAACGACATTCTTCTGATTGGAATAGTAAAAAGAAATAATAGATTTAAATCATGATAGATATAAAATTGAGAAAAACGAGATTAATTTACGTATCAGACATTAAAGATATATCTTATTACAGCTTTATGAATTAAACTAATAGATTATGTATTTATACAAATGATTATAAAATACACACAGAGATAAAATTACGATACAATCTCTTAGATTTTTATCATTAGGGCGATTAAAACTTTTTATTAAACTGACTAAATTATGCTTTATTTTATTGTAACCACAAAAACCAAATTAATTAAATGTCATTTTTATTCATGATTGACGGAGTTACTTACATTAAACCGAAATCCATCAGTTTATTTTTCTTTCAAATGAGTGATCTATTTTTAATGCTCCCGAAAGCTTCAAGACTAATTTCAAAGAACAACAGATCATTTATCGGAAGAAACTACAGCACTCCTTTCTCAGTCATATCGTGTCATTATTTTTCCAAGTAAACATTTATGAAATTGTTGGAACTGAAATATTAACTTGTGTATAAACGTATATAGTGTCTGATATATATTTAAAAGAGATACCTTTGTCTTAAAAGATAAAATTATCTTCTTGCTTTAATTTTTATAGCTGTAGGCCATAACAATTCTAAAAATTTATATGTAATATATATTTTTTCTATTTAAAAGCTATAAAATTAAAACGATTGTGTGGTAATCCTTTCGACGACAAAAATGTTAATTATTGCTTTGAATATCCTTTCACAAATTAGGCGGTATTAATAAATTTAGAAGCTTTTTGACGAGTAGGAAGCTGGCTTCGAGCCAAAACGTTCCACTTTCTCCTATAATCATGGCTTCTCTTTCACTCACATCTAAAATTTCTCTATTCAGGACTACATAACATATTGCTTCGGTTTCCTAGAAATTGTATATTCTCAGTAGCGTGTTAGAAACGGAGATCGGAAATATTTTATGGGAGATAAATTGCTGAGAAATTGATAGATCTCGCAGAGTTCAATGATACAAGGAATCCTTTTAATATGATGTTGTATTATTAACAAGTCCAATACCGTGAATTATAATCAAATAAATTAAATTTATAGCACCAATACGAACTTATATAACAATAATAGTTCACTATGAACCATTATAGGAAATATTTTGTTAGCATTCGGATCCGTATTAGTTTACATAGATAATGTAATGCAGAATCATAGTCAGGTTCAGTTTATTATGTATGCAATGAATAGTTGGATCAGAACCGCTATCACTCATTATACGTATAGTGAAATTAAACATTTGCTATGATGGACGATCTCAATATACGTAATGGCGTACATTTACACAATTGTTTCCCTTCAACAGCTGTCATTACATATGAAACAGTACCCTACACCTGTACTCCAACATTTTGTTTGTTGTTTTGTAATTTTAATTATTTAATTAGTGCCATTAAAATAAAATATTTATGATTCTGTTTATGCCTTTATTTCTGATGGATTTATTTTAGAATATATGTTTTTGGTATCGATGGATATTCATTAAATTAAATATCATACATTTTTAATGCGATGATATATGAAAAGCATTTAAGTCAAAATTTTAAACCATCGATTAATTAAAGACATCTTAGAAAGTTGAGGAAAGCTGTTTATTATTGAGGAAGTTAATAATACGTATCACGGTACAGACAGAAAACTTTCCACTTTCTGTTTTTCTTTATTATATTGAACGTCATTACATCTTGACGGAAAACAAAAACAATTTTGTAATTCATTCCGTTTTAATAAACAACTTTAGATGATTTAGAGCCGAAATTAAGAAAGGGGAGCATTGTTTTTAAAGAAACCGAATTATTTTGCGGTCACATATTTTCAATCAGAACTGTTGCAAGTGGAAAAACAATATGAAGGCATCTTCTTATAATATATTATAGAAAAAAAGATAATTTCATACCCGGCTTAGGAGATTTATTCTTAACATAGCCAGGAATTAGCTAGACTCAAAATTGACTACGCATTTGTACACCACATCATGTTCAAGCTAAGGTCACAACCCATCAGTTAGTATAATTTTTGTTATTAAACATATTATTTCAAAATAGCATAATTAAGCTATGAAAATTTGTCACAACAAAAATGACGGCGGAGTCATTGGATCGGAAGCTCGACGTCGCTGGCGGATATTGCGTAGTTCAAAATTAAATTTCCAGTCTCGGCTACCTAATAAATTCATTCATGGAGTTTATTCGAACACAATTACAATCATATACACAACATATGTAATTTATGTAGTGTAAAAATAAGTATTTGATGTCATATTTTACTTAATAAAAGTAATTAAACATGTAATGACGTAAAAGGTGATGATAAAAAAATGAATACCCTTTCTGTGTTGTTTAGGATGATCATAACTCTCATAGAAGATTGATGAGTCGTAGGTATGATAGCTACGTTTCTTTAATGAGTGTTGAAGCCCATTTATCTAACTCCCATGCTCCCACATCTTCTGTCCTAAATTCAAGACTGAAAGTATAACCTTCAGAGTGCTCACACACCACGACCTGTATTTACTGAGACCGACGATTGACAGTCTTCTCATTTATCTATCAATAGCATAGGATGATCAGAAATATTCCTTTATGATCATTTTTCTTGAAACAACTTTTAATCATTTTGATGTTATTTTACACAACGGGACATTTAAGAACTGTTAGTCTAGAATTTATTACTTTTCATTATTCATTACATAGAATTTCCAGACGATAAATTAACGTAAAAACGGAATTTCAATTGCTCAGGAATAATTCATATTTGCAATACTTTTCTGAGGCTTAGTCTTTCGTTTGTTGACAGTTGTCACGTTTTTACCTTAAAAGTGACATACTTTGTTCTGATATAACGTATGTATATGATGCTTTATTTACTTTATTGTTCAGTATCTTATATTTACTTTGTCTAAATACGAGCCTAATATTTATTTCCAAGTTCTAGAGTTAATAAATTCCTAAAAGTGAAGACGTATAATCTACAATATATTGCTTTTCTTGATGTTTGCCATTGAAATTTTCCTCTTTTAAACCTTACAAATCATACCGATTAATTATAATCAGTCTATGTACAATTGTAATTTTTATAGTCAACAAATTCTATGATGATATATTCTGCGTGATTTTAAACATATCTTTTTTTATCTAGTAGTTTAGAAAAATTAATCCATATTAATGTAATTAAATCGAAAAACTATGATATTTTTTGTGTTTTACTCTCTTTTCATGTGTTTTCACAACTTTTTATTGTTAAGTATTTTTCCATCTTATTTGATTCGTTCTTGTACCACATTTAAAATATTATGACTGAACCCAACTGCGAGCGTTGTGAGTCATCTCTGAATTCATTAAACACATGCAACCGTTACCAGCCAGCGTGGAAGTCTCGCCATATAACAAAGACTGTGGATGAAAGAAACAAAGCACCCAGCTACGTAATTCAATATTCTTAGGTTGAATGATCCCATATCAACTCTGAGAAGCTTCATTCAGCTCTCGCGACAGAAACATAATGCACTTGGGCGCAAATAAAAAGTTGAGCGTCGTTGTCATGACATTGAGCAGACAATGATGATAGAAATTGTTAGCGAAATTTCACTATACGGTTCATAACTTAAAACTGCTAAGTGCATTTTAACATAAGTGCTATGACATATAATTTAATTTATAGATTTTACGAAATACCACATTCAGAACAGTAAAATAGATGCGTAGTTTATAGCATTCAAAAAAATGTCTTAATACAAGACTCGTGTTTAACAAATTCCCCTAAGAACAATCGATGGTTTTATCTTATGTACATATATATCCATAATTTTTATTTATATTTATAAAATACTCTAGCTCTGCCTAAGCAATCAAATTGAACTGAAGTTTAAAGCAATAATTATTTAGTCATGATACAGTGTCTTCTCTCTTACAAGTTGCGACGTATAAACATTGAAAACTAACCAATCAATTGAATAGATTGGGAACACTTTCTGTATTCTACAACTGGATAATTTCAACAGATATTGTCATCAGCATATCAGAACCCACTGCTGATCAAAGTCCTGTTTCTCACATGGAGAAGGTTTGAGCATTAATCACCACGCTTGCTCAAGACGGGTTGGTGATTTCAAACTTATAATTGTCAAATTATAAGTCCAGGCTTCCTCGCTATGTTTTCCTTCACCGTCTGTCGGTGATGTCTAAATACTCTTAGAAAGTATATATGACTCCGAAAAATCACATTGGTACTTGTCAAGATTGACCCGAGCCCTCGCGCACGAGAGGCGGACCCTTTAAACAACAACAAAAACAGTAACTTTTAACTTCGCAACAGATATTAACAATCACGAACCAAAAATTGCCAATGACAGTTAATCGTAAGACCCTTACATAATTGGGTTCGAATTCGATCTGTAATTTTTGTGTGAGAGTAGATTAACTAATACAATATGAGATTTGTACGAAGGGTGAGGATGTATTAATAGCGGACGCGTAATAAATGCGACACTTACACGGTCCGTCGGGGGCTGAATGTGACGATCCCACGGAGCAAATCGAATCGGCACTAGACTACGCTTCGCACGTGCTGAATTTACCGTTTGACCAGGTACAAAGACAAACCGAAAACGTAACAAAATAAAAGAGGTAATTGAAATTGTTGAAAGCTGGCCCATTTTTTGTTGAATTAAATTGTGGTTAACTCAAAACTAGTCAATAAATTTAACTTACATTATGAAACAAAATAGTTATTTATTTAATGATAAGTTCATAATATGATTGTAATTTATATTGTGAGCGCAGAACAATGACGATAGGCACATATGAATAGATATTTATACATTATAGTATGATTTTATAATGGCTCTTTGTTGTGATTTCCTTCCATAAATCACTCCGAAGAAAACAACTTAGATTGTTTATAATGATACGTATTATCCTAGTACTACGACTAAAACGACGTTGTCTATAGTATGCAAATCGGTGCACTTTGTTGAATGCCATCGATAATCGCGGCTATTATCTCGGCGATCTGTTTATTCGCAGGGCCAATCAAATCAAACATTTAAAGCTTTGCTCATGGAATAGCTCTAATAGACTGTCTAATTATATTGTGTTTGTCTTTTCTGTCATTGAATTATTCGAATATTAAAATTATTATTCTTAAAACTGTTCTCAATACAACTTGAAAATATATAATTACCAACGAACACACACCTATCTGGACTACGAAGTTGGAAAGTTATATATACATATATATGTATATACTACACCCTAGTAATTTTCAATGTAATAAATACTTAAACAAAATTTTAATTTAATTAGTCTTTTTTAATAAAATATTTGATAGTTTTCGCAACAAAATGTACCTATTTACAATTTCGAAATACCACAGAACGAAGATTGTTTTTCCCTCCAACCGTATTCGAACTCTGCTGAAATCTTGAAAAGAGAATATATCACATATGTATAACAAAATCATTCAAACACTGGTATAATCAAATGGATATTATAAAAGTTTATTCACCTATTCTGTTTGTCATTGTTTGGAGTAAATGTAGAAAGTTGTCCGAACGAGGAGTTCCATTGAAAGTCAATTTTCGAAGTTGTCCGTAGCGGAATGCGGGGCGCATCAAGAGCAAGTCGTGTCCGCCCTTTGCATACGAGCATCCGCACGTGATCCTGAATAACATACTCGTACATGCGACGAAATGGCCCTGTCTATCTCGCTGCGAATCTATCAAAGTATTAACAATCTTATCAAACAAGAAGCAGAGCTTAGTTTTGATAGAGTGTCACATGAATATTTATTATATGTCAGCCTTAACTTAGCAATAGTTTGCGTTCTATTAAGAACTCAAAATGGTTTAGTTTAATATATGTGTATAGGGCATATACATTATATACATAACGTGTTTTAAATCGTATTCCAAAATGAATTTGAAGAGTAAAACTGCTAATTCATTGATATTGTTTTTAGAACAAGTGATGGAACCGTGGTAGTAGCTATCAAATTCAATGTATTGTAACCATTGAAAAATTAATTTTTTGACATAATTTGAAAGTTTTATCAATTAAAATTACCAATAACACTTTAACAAATAAAACTTTAGAATTTTACACAGACATTTGGAGCCAGACTCATTAGATGAATTATTAATATAAGTAGGTACTTAATGAAGTGATAAATATTACAATAAAATGAGAACAATTAATAAAACATTTTGATTTATACCGAAAGTAAATAGCAGAATACTGGGACTAAATTTTAGTTTCAACTTTTAAACTCTCATAAAATATTCATCTCCCAAACTATTATGATCAAACGTTGTAATTAATTTCAAAGCCATTATAAATTTAGTTAATGCTTCAATATTTTATGGGCAATATAAATCGGCCTTTTCATCTAAATGATATTTTTAAATGTATACAAAACCTAACTGACCGCTAGTGTTTATATTTCTAAGGTTTATTGAGGATGTGTTGGCAGTGGCTGGCAGATGGTTAACGTGTGTGCTTCCGTTTCCGAAATCCGCCTTGACTTCCTCGAATAAAGACAGGTGGTCGACTAATCAATGAGCATTCAATACAACAACGTCGTCAATGTAATCCTTTTGTTTTCTATAGGCTATAACTATCGTTGTGTATTTATAAACAATGAATATTTATGTATGATAAAGGATATGTGGTTTTGTTATAACATTTTATTGTCCTCGCGTTGATATGAATAATTTAAAACAATATTGTATGTATATCACACATTCCACATTTCATTTGAAGTCTGAATTAAATTGTCGTACAATTATACTTAATGTTTTACCTAGTAACATTTATCATCATTGTCTGAATCGTACATACATACGTATTCACAAACAATATTTTAACTAACGCTAACATTTTTATAAGTTGCACTGGCTTTATTATGATATATATGATAATAAATCCAAATTACTTTACAAAACAGAATTTCCGAGGCTAAATTAATGTCAGACCAAATTAAGTCTAGCAGAAAACGAGCGTTTTTTTTTTTTTTTTTTTTTTTTTATTTAACCAAAGGGGCAAGCGAGCAGACGGCCTGCCTGATGGTGAGCAGTCACCGTCGCCCATGGACATCTGCAACACAAGGGGTGTTGTAGATGCGTTGCCGGCCTTGTTTGTGAAGGAGCCACCTGAACACGTGATGTTTGAAAGACCCCATGTTGTAGCTCTCTGGAAAGGCCTCGGGCGGAAGATCATTCCACATCCTGCACGTGCGTGAAAAAAATGAACGCGACGCACGTACAGTCCTGCAACTGAATGCATCCAGATGATGTGGGTGAAATCCAACCCTACGCCGAGTAGTGCGATGGTGGAATGTGGACGATGGCACTACATCAAACAGTTCCTCGGAACATTCCCCATTGTACAGACGATAGAACACACTAAGGGAGCTTACATCCCTTCGAAGACTTAGGGGTTCTAGATCGTCTGTGAGCATGGGATCGTTGACAATACGAACTGCCCGACGTTGAATGGAGTCAAATGGAAGAAGTTGGTACTGTGGGGCACCGGACCAGAGGTGAGAACAATACTCCATGTGGGGACGAACCTGTGCTTTATATAACAAAAGCAAGTGTCCCGGTGTGAAGTACTGCCTCGCTCTACTCAGTACCCCTAGTTTTTTTGATGCTAGTTTAGCTTTATCCTCCAAATGTCTCCGGAATTGAACGTCGTTCGCTATGTCAACCCCAAGGATCCCAATGCTCTGTTTGATCTTAAGGGGAATGTCCTGGAACTTTGGAGCTACAGTGAATGGGGTCTTTTTAGTGGTAAACGCGCAGACTTGTGTCTTCTTGGGATTAAACTGAACAAGGTTCAGCTTACCCCATTCGGAGACCTGCTCCAGGGAGGTCTCAATTTCAGACACAAGTCTCTTTCTGCTCTCTTCTACTTGGTCACGAGGAATATTAGCTCGGCCCATGTAATAAGCGTCACCAGTACTGTCATCTGCATAGCACCGAATGTTGCTGGTATGCAGCATGTCGTTGATATGCAGAATGAACAGCGTTGGTGATAGCACTGAGCCTTGGGGCACACCAGCGTTGATGGGCTTGGGTTCCGAGCAAGAACCGTCAACAACAACCTGTATGCTCCGCCCATGAAGGAAGCTGGCTACCCAGTTGCATAATTCCTCGGGTAGTCCGTACGATGGTAGCTTCGATAGAAGTGCGCGATGCCAGACCCGATCAAAAGCCTTTGCGATGTCTAGGCTGACCGCCATGGCCTCCCCTTTGCTCTCAATGGCTTCAGCCCATCGATACGTGAGGTATACTAGAAGATCACCAGCGCTTCGTCCGTGGCGAAAGCCATATTGACGGTCGCTAATAAGCTGGTTTTCCTCTAGATAACCTAAAAGTTGCGTATTGATGATCCGCTCCATCACCTTTGAGAGCAGGGAAGTGATCGCAATAGGCCTGTAATTGGATGGGTCTGTGCTGTCACCCTTCTTGGGAATAGGGTGGACATTGGCCACTTTCCACGAAGACGGAACTTTACCAGTAGTATAAGAGAGTGAGAATAGGCGCGTTAAGACCGAAGTCAATTCAGGAGCACACATCTTAAGCACAATGGCTGGGATACCGTCTGGGCCGCTGGATTTCTTGACGTCGAGGGATGACAGGGCGGCACGCACAGCGCTCTGCGTAAAACGCACATTGCGCATATTTTCCCTGCACCGCGGGATGGTAGGCGGTGCTTTTCCCCCATCGTCAAGAGTTGAATTCGACGCAAAAAGAGTGCACAGAAGATCAGCCTTCTCTTTTGCGGAATTAGCCAGCGTTCCATCAGGATTGTGCAAGGATGGTAGGGAAGACTTACAGAAATTGCCTTGCACCGCTTTGGCGAGAGACCAAAAAGATCGAGTTCCTGAGGGAACGTCAAGTAGTCTCTCTCCAATTCTGCGAACGTGCTCCTTCTTTGCTCTGGTAATCTCCTTTTTGCAAGACCTGGAGGCAGCATTATAACCCTTTTTCAATTCGAACGTTTTTGGATCCTTCGCAGCTGATGCCGCAGCCCATGATCGGTATTTCAACTGTTTTGAGCGCAACGCTCCTGTACAGGATTTACCGAACCAGGGCTGAGACTTACCCCCCGTGCGAATAACAGAGCTCGGAATGAAACATTCCATTCCCTGCAGAATAGTATCCGCAGCGGCGTTCGCGCAGATCGAAGGATCGTCCGAAGAAAAACAAAGCTGTCTCCAGGGGTAGGATGCGTAAAATTCTCGCAATCCTTCCCAATCTGCCGACTTGTAGTGCCAAACTAGACGTCTTCCAGGTGGACGGGAAGTCGTTGTTGGCACTAATTGTGTCTCGGAGTGCACCAGGCAGTGGTCAGATGACCCAAGGGGTGCATTGACGGACACCTTGTAGCAATCCGGACGACTGGTCAGCAGAAGGTCCAACAAAGAGGGGTTATGGTCCTCAACATCAGGGATCCGAGTGTGTTCTGGAACTACCTGAGTTAACCCATAAGCCAGAGCAAAGTTATTTGCGGCTTTTCCAGCGTAGTCTGTGGTACGTGATCCTAACCATTCGCAATGGTGGGCGTTAAAGTCACCTAGGATCACTACCTCCGCGCTGGGATACCGCTGGAGAACAAAATCTGTAGCCTCCTGGATGTGTCCAAAAAGACGATCGACTTCGGTGTTACCACTATGGGACCTGTACAGGCACGCGTAGACACGGTTTGAGCGTATCCGAAAAGACAAATACCACCAACTTCATCATTAGACTTAACGGTAAAGTTTGACACATTAAAAACATAAAACATAGTTAGAACATTTTTATCGGTGTTGTGATTTTGTTTAATAAACCGTTATTAATTAAAGCAGTTTATTGAGTAACTTATTATTTGAAAATAGTGTTTATAGATGTTTTTCAATATTCTAAAAGTCATTATAAAGAAGATCAAAAGAAGTATATTCTATTGTTCAACTTTTATATCACGTACATAAAATTAAAGACAAAATTCCTTGATAATTTCGAATCATATGAAAGTTAATTAAAAAATACTGTTGCACTTTATAAATAAAGAATGAGATCCCCACCGTTACTCATAAAGACAGAGATAAAAAGAGCAAATATTTTCAGTCGCCACCGTAGCGACTCCACAGTAAGGGAATCCGTGTGTTGTTGCAATTTTGAATTTTTTTATTATCGTTTAGCCTTGATGAGAACAACGGAGATGGAGGAATAAGAAACCGAGGACAATAGTAACTGAACGTGTGTTTGAGGGATGTCTTTTAAGGTAATAATACTATTAAATATTATCAACAATTGAACGTAGTAAAAATTTCATAGTTATGACTTATAAAACTAATCATTGCAGTTTTTACAAATAGATTTTTAATATTTGAATATTCGTAACTATTTCGAAACCTTTTGAGATGAATATATAACTTATGCTAATACTGTATGTTATAAATATGGTATTTTGTATGAAAAATTATGAAACTATTATACCATATAGTGGTAGCCGTAGCTCGGACCGTGATGCAACCAGGCTATGTTCGACTGTAACTTCGACAAAGTAGCTACTAATAATGTCTGTGGATGTATATCATCCTTAGATTAAAAGGACACTCATTTTCCTGTACCATGACTGGGCGCAACTTTAAGCTACTTTAAAAGTTAATGTAAACTTAAATAAG